TTATTTATTTATTTATTTATTTATTTATTTCGGTCTTTTTTGAGACAGGGTCTCCCTGTAGCCCCAGCTGTCCTGGAACTCACTATGTAGACCAGGCTGGCCTTGAACTCACAGAGATCCGCTTGCCTCTGCCTCCCAAGTGCTGGGACTACAGGCGTGCGCCACCACACCCGGCTTCAGGTCTATTTTTATGCCTCTTGTCTAACTTCCTAAATTAAATAGTCCATTTAGTAGCAATCTTTTTTTTTTTTTTTTCAGTTTACCAGTCACTTCAGTGTTTACTGATGTAGATACCAACTGCATAATTTTTTTTAACTTTTAAGAGAAAAAAATTTGAGAATTGCCAGGCATGGTGGTGCACACCTTTAATCCCAGCACTTGGGAGGCAGAGGAAGTCGGATCTTTATAAGTTCGAGGCCAGCCTGGTCTACATAGTGAGTTCCAGGACAATTAGGGCTACAAGGAGACCCTGTCAAAAAAGACCAAAAAAAAAAAAAAAATTGAGAATTTCATACATGCATTTAAGTTTTGACCAAATCCACGTCCACTCCCTCCCCTCCAATTCCTCCCATATGTCTGCATCACTTTTTCTTGAACAACTTCATGTATTTTTTTTTTTTTTTTCTGAGACAGGGTCTCCCTGTAGCCCCAGCTGTCCTAGAACTCACTATGTAGACCAGGCTGGCCTCAAACTCACAAAGATCCACCTGCCTCTGCCTCCCAAGTGCTGGGATTAAAGGCATGCGCCACCACTCCTGGCCACTTTTTTTTTTTTTTTTTTAATGGAGTTTTTTGCTACTCTAACATTTCGCCCCCTCTGAGGACATACCCCTAAAATCTTTTAGGGATAAGAGCTCCCAAATACTTTTGACATTTTTGGCCTTTGGAACAGAGTATGTTGCTAAGAGGCCCAAGGACATTTTGATTTTTAGCCAAGAAACTGGCTACTTTTCTTTGGGGTTCTAGTCACTTATTCTTTATTCAGCTATGCACCCTGTCTTTGCCCACTCTCTTCCTCACGCCCAGCAGTCTGTTCAATGTTGGTGTTCTCTCAACTCAGTCTTCTTACTTAGCTTGACACACTGTAAGCACACAGGGACACTGCAGTCACTGCCACTCAAAAAGCAACCTTTCATCCCCTAACCACAGCCACCTCCTACATTCACAATCCTATCACCACACACACCCCTCCTTTCTTCCTTCATGTGTTGTAGGGCCCTCAACTCTGTGGGTCCAAAATGTAACTCCAAATCTTTCCCCTCAAAGCTGCAACTCCTAACAGCTCCTAAGTTTCTGACGCACATGGTCACTAAAGTTGGAGATACAGATCATATCACTCAGTCCTTGCCCTTCACTCTGCATCTACTCTGCACCAGACTGTCAATTCTGCCAGATTTGACATGCCTCTAATCTCTGCATTCCCACCACAGCAACCACAAAATCTTTACTATCTCTGAACTAGTTATTTCCTCCCTGGCTCTAGTCTGAAACACTTCCTAGTCAAGTCACATTGGCCCTTCTGTACTCATTCAGACACAAATTTGATGTTACTTTCCTGCTGATTATCTTTTTTCATGATTTTCCTGGAACATACCCCTCAAATAATTTTACTCACTTCTTACCAGATTTTTTTTTTTTTTTTTTTTTTTTTTCGGTCTTTTTGAGACAGGGTCTCCCTGTACCCTCAGCTGGCCTGGAACTCATGTAGACCAGGGTAGCCATGATTTCACAGTGCTCTGCCTGCCTCTGCTGGAATTAAAGACATGCCTGCATGTATAAAAGTGCACCCATGTATGCAAAGCCTGTGGAGGCCAGAAGTGGGTGTCAGATTCCTTAGAACTGGAGTTATGGACAATTGTTAGGTACTAACTGGGTATTAGGAACCAAACCCAGGTCCTCTAAAAAAACAGCCAGTGCCCTTAACTACTGATCCATCTCTCCAGCCCAAAATTATTTTATTTTATATATATCTTAACATTCACATTTTAAAGACATGGATATGGTGGTACAGGTCTGTAATCCTAGCACTCAGGAGGCTGAGGCAGGAGGATTGCTATGAGTAACCTGGGCTACATAGTGAGTTCCAGGCCAGCCTAGGGTACAAAGCAAGCCTATCACACAAAGACACACATTAAAAAACAAAACAAAACATACTCCAATACGTAAATTTTTTGCAGTACTGTGTCAAACCTAGAATCTCATACATGTGCTCTACCACTGAGCTACACCTCCAGTGCTAACCTCTACAGGTTTGCATAACAAATTAAGTAGTCTATTTTTGGGATAAGAAGAAGCTTAAAATGTGAAGTATTTTATTTAAAAAAGAAATGGGTAAAACTATAATTAGAATAAGGGTTCTGTTGGGCTGGAGAGATGGCTCAGCAGTTAAGAGCACTGGTTGTTCTTGCAGAAGACCAGGGTTCGAATCCTAGCACCCACATAGCAGCTAACAACTGTCCATAACTCCAGTTCCAGGGGATCCGACGGCCTCTTCTGTCCTCACGGGCATTACACAACACAGGTGCACTTACCTACATGCAGGCAATGTAGGCAGGTAATGTACCTACACACATACACATAAAATAAAAATAAAATATTAAAGAAAAAGGAAGAGTTTTGTCAATTGGCTTAGCGAAACAGGTTTTTATTATCTTATTAAATGATAAACTAAGCTAAAACTAAAAAAAAAAAAAAAACCACTTAAATATTTTTGTGCAAGTTTTATTTAATATAGTTTTAAAGTCCAGTGGTTCCAAAAACAAAAGAAAATATTCCAGGGCTGGGGATGTATTTCAGAGGGTAGAGTGCTTGCCTTGCATGTGAGAGGCACAAGGTTCAATTCCCCACACATTACAAAAAGAAAAAAAAAATCCAACATTGGATCCAAAAGAATCTCAACACTATCAGCAGAATCTTTCAGGGAAACACAGGAAGCTATTTGGCTTGGAAGGTAACTTTGCCACAAAAGAACACTTACCTGTTTATCATTATCTCCAAAGTATTCCTAGTTTGGCATTTAAGGAATTTTTTTACCGTCTCATATAAATTTGCAATGCCTGTTTCTTTTAGGGAGTCTTGGAAGAGTTACTTGGAAACTACAAGTCTGGAATTTATTCATCTAAACCTATATGTGAGGTCTTGGGCCCTAATGACCCCAGTCTGAAAAAAACTACTGATCTGGAAGATAAGGTTCTCATCTAGCAAAACACCTACAACTGGCTATTAAGGTGTCTCGCTTTCTGTCATAGGATGGCTCCCAACAAACCCAAGACAGGCCTGTTCTCTTTTTAGGCCTTGCAGTATCTTTCCTAAGGCTACTTTGTATCTTAAAAGCCCCGCCCCAAATTCCCTGAGAACATTTTGTAACTTTTCAAGACCAGGCTTATTCCAATCAGTAAGCAGCTGGTAACTTTCCAGGCAACAATGCAGGTAGTTTTTATGCAAATAGTGTCTGGGTATTTATTGCAACAATTCAAAGGTCAGGATGATACATTCCCAAAAGGGTCCTCCAGATTACTGCTGATTCAACAAGTGGTGAATTTAAGAATGAGGCGGTTTGGAGTATCCGAGATGACTCCATAAAGAAGAATTAAAACATTTCCAAGATTCAGAATGGGAATGAAAGGTCTGGAAGTGGGGTGATGAACTCCAAGCAAGTCTGAGTTCTATCATGACACCACCACCGTGTAGCAAATGCTTACTTGATTAAAAATCTTCCCTACATTGTAAGACTTGTCTTGCTGGCCACTTTGTATCCGCCCTAAGAGATTCCAGTAGTTACTTCGCTCATTACATATTTGTCGATGTTTTCTTAAACACTTCTTGTAAATGAGTGAATGGAGAAATGGCTGGATAAATTAATTAAATTACACAGGCTCTCAGCTCTTGCTCAAGTCTAGAGTTTAGGAAACTGTTTCTCTAGGATAACCCAGAGTGGGGAAGTAAAAGGAAAGCTGGCATCCACGTTAAAGTCAGTCCTGACGCCTTTAGAGAGCTTGGGCTCCAACTCACGTTAGAGAATTTTTAAAATCACAGCGTGGCGGGAAAGAGGAAGCTCTAAAGCCAGGACCAACAGAATGCAGCGGGGCTCGGGACCCCGGGAGAGGCCACCCAGGTTCACCCGTGTGGCGGCAGCCGAGAAGGGCTCGGAGCAGGCCGCAGCCCCCTCGCCCTTCCCCTGGCTCATGGGAGAGGGAGAGGTGACGAACCGGAAGCGGGGCTAGGGGCCCGCGCGAGGGACCCAGGGTAGCGGGGGAAGCGGGAGTGGCGGGCCTCGGGAGTTCCCAGCTCCGCAGCCCCACTCACCTAGGAGACCCAGCTTCGCCCGGGATCGGCACCGGCTCCGCGTAACTTCCTCGCTCCACCTGATGGGAGAGCGGGCAACCTCAGGTGCCCCTAGCAACCACGCACGGCCACGCGACTCGCGCTCAGCTGCCGACGCCGCCAGCCACGCACAGCGCGCGCCCCCAGCGGACGGACCGAGGGTCGGGAAGGGGAGGGCTGGGACAGGCAAGAGGCAAGCGCGCGGAATCCCAGGGCTTGCGAGGCCTAGCGGCTGGAGGAGGGGAGGAACAAAACTGAGCACCGGACTTGCGCGCGCAGTCTGGTCAGCGTGCTGGAACTCAGCGAGCGGAATTCTGGGAACTGTAGTCCTGAAGCTCAAGGTTCCGTTCTGGGAATCCAGGACTCTTTCCCTTTCAACACTGATTCTACCGTAAGGACTCTCTTTGGCTTACCTCAGCTTACTCTTCTGAAATCAAACGCCCAGGCTCTATTAAAGAATTTACATAAAAGCCTATGAGTTTGAGTTAGGTAAGGGGAGATAGCCCAAGCCACTTTGACTTTTTCCAACCCACCTTCCCCTAAACTCTAACCACAGAGCAGGACATAATTACAACCACCTGCATTATGGGTTTCAAGTGTGAATTTTAAGAAACTGACTCATTTCATTATCTCATTATTTCTCCACACAGAGTAGATCTGCCACCTGTCTCATGTGACTGGATGCTAGGCTTGATGAATTTAGGGAGTTGTAGAGAACTGGAGGGCAAAAGGATCTGCCAGACAAAATGCTACAGAAATAAAGAGGATAATCTTTAAAAAAAAAAAAACTGTTTTGGTCTTTTTGAAGCAGGGTCTCTTTGTAGCCCCAACTGTCCTGGAACTCACTATGTAGATCAGGCTGGCCTTGAACTCACAGAGATCCGCCTGTCTCTACCTCCCAAGTGCTGGGACTACAGGGGTGCGCCACCACGCCCAGCTTTATTTTTATTTCATGTGTATGAGTGTATTGCCTGCATGTATGTGAGTACACCCCTGTCGTGCAATGCCGGGGAGATCAGAAGAGAGCTTCGGATTGCCCTGGAACTGGAGTTATGGACGGTTCATAGCCGCTATGTGGGTGCTGGGAACCGAACCCGAATCCTCTGCAAGAGCAGTCAGTGCTGAGCCATCTCTCCAGCCCCAAAGAAGATATCTTATTATCGATAAAACTAATCTAATGAAGACAGTCTGGACCACAGCAAGGATGCTCAACAAAATATTTAGGCAGTAGTCATAGATGACTGCTAAACTATTAAAAGATTGTTAGAGCATATAAACTAATCGATTTTAATTTTTTATATTTTATTTATTAGTTTTATTTTATGTGTATGCGAATATTGCCTGCATGTTGGTAAGTGCACCCATGTCATGCAATGCCAGAGGAGGACAGAAGCTGTCAGAACCCCTGGGACTGGAGTTACAGACAGTTGTTAGCTGCCATGTGGGTGCTGGGATTTGAACCAGGGTCTTCTGCAAGAACAACCAGTGTTCTTAACTGGAGCCATCTCTCCAACTCCTCTTTATTTCTGAGACAGACTCTTACTATGTAGCCCTGGCTGACCTGGTACTCATGGTATAGACCAGGCTGGCCTCAAACTCACAAAGATCCATCTGTTTCTACCACCCAGGTGCTGGGATTAAAGGTATGCTCCATCATGCCTGGCAATTTTGCTTATTTTAAGATACTAAATTTGTGGTAACTGCTTATAGAAGTCACAGGAAACTAAACTAAATACTTTGACATTTTGGTGATTTAGAAAATATCCTTGTTTTTTGGAATTCATAGAAATTCTTAGGTATAAGTGGCATAATTCTAGGGATTTACTTTTGTTTTAAAATACTACATGAAGGGTAGAGAAGAAGTGGCTCAATCAGTAAAGTGTTTGCTACACAAGTATGAAGAACTAAGTTAGGACCCCTCAGCATCTACATAAAAAGCCAAGTACTGCCAGGCATGGTAGTGCACACCTTTAGTCCCAGAACTCAGGAGGCAGAGGCAGGCAGATCTTTGTGAGTTCAAGGCCAGCCTGGTCTACATAGTGAGTTCCAGGACAGCTGGGGCTACAAGGAGACCCTGTCTCAAAAAGACAAAAAAAAAAAAAAAAAAAAAAAAAAAAAAAAAAGCCAAGTACTGTTGTGCAGGTCTGTAATCCCAGTACTGGGGAGGCAGAAAGAGAAGGATCCCTGGGGCTTGCTGGCCAGCCAGTCTAACACAACTTGGACGAGTTCCAGGTTCAATGGCAGACCTTTACTCAAAAAATAAGGTAGGGACTAGAGAGATGGCTCAGGGGTTAAGAGCACTAGCTGTTCTTGCAGAGGACCTGGGTTCAATTTCCAGCACCCACATAGCAGCTAACAACCATGGTAGCTAACAACTGTCTGTAACTCCAGTTTCAGGAGAACTGACATCCTCTTTTTTTTTTTTAGATATTTTATTTGTAAATTTTATTTTCTGTATATGAGTGTATTTCCTGCATGTATATAAGTGCACCTGTGTCATGCAATGCCTGCAGAGGTCAGAAGAGGGTATCAGATCCCCTGGAACTAAAGTTATGGACAGTTGTTAGCTGCCATGTGGGTGCTAGGAATTGAACCCTGGTCCTATGCAAGAGCAGTCAGTACTCTTAACCACTGAGCCATCTCTCCAGCCCCCATGCCCTCTTTTGACCTCTGTAGCATTGCATGACATGAGCGTACTTATATACCTGCAGGCAATACACTCATACACATCAAATAAAATTAAGCTAGAGGCAGTGAAGAGATGGCTCAGTGATAAGAGCATTTACTGCTCTTCCAGAAGACCCCAGTTCCATTCCCAGCACCCATATGTTGGCTAACACCAATCCTTAACACCCAGTTCCTGAGGATCCAACACCTTTTTCTGACCTCTGTGGGCACCAGGCCCGAGCATGGTACACTTACATGCATGCAAGCAGAACACTCATACACATAAAATCAAAATCAATAAAATTCTTTAAAAAGAAAATAAAGAGCCAGGTGTGGTGGCGCATGCCTTTAATCCCAGCACTCGGGAGGCAGAGTCAGGTGGATCTCTGTGAGTTCAAGGCCAGCCTGGTCTACATAGTGAGTTCCAGGAAGACCCTGTCTCAAAAAAAAAAAGCCCCAACAAAAAGAAAAGAAAGATGTGTAACACATTTTCATTATCCATTCATCAGTTGAGGGACATTTAAGTTGTTTCCATTTCTTAGCTATTGTGAAAAGAGTAGCAACAAACATAGATGTAGAGGTATCTCTACAGTAGGACGATTTGGGTATATGCCAAGGAATAGTATAACTGGATCATATGGTAGAGTCATTGTTAATTTTTTTTAGTGTTTTCCACACTGCTTTCCATAGTGGTTGCACAAGTTTGCATTCCCACCAGCAGTGAATGAATTTTCTCCACATCCTTGACAGCATTTGGTGTCTTCTGTTCTCTTGATCTTAGCCAGGTTGACTGGGATAAGATGAAATCTTAACTGTTTTGTTGTTGTTGTTGTTGTTGTGTTGTTGTTGTTGTTTTTCCTGCATTTCTCTAATTAGTCTTAACCATGTAGCTCTGGCTGGCCTACAACTCACTGTGTAGACCAGGCTACCCTGTAGCCCCAGCTGTCCTGGAACTTACTATGTAGACTAGGCTGGCCTCAAACTCACAAAGAACAGCTTACCTCTGCCTCCTGAGTGCTGGGATTAAAGTTGTGCACCACACCTGGCCTGTTGAGCAACTTTTAAGGTGCTTCTTAGCCATTTTTATTTCTTCATTTGAGAACTCTCCGTTCAGGTCTATAGCCCGTCTTTTTATTGGGTCCTTTATTTTCTTGTTTCTTTGTTTTTTGAGTTCTTTGTATATTCTGGGTATTAATGTGGTACATTTACACAATGGCATTCTACTCAGCAGTAAGAAAAGATGAAATTATGAAATTTTCAGGTAAATGGATGGAACTTGAAACTGTTATACTAAGTGAAGTAACACAAACTAAGAAAAGCAAGTGACATATGTTCTCCCTCATTTGCAGATTGCAGTACCAATCCCTTATATGTGAGTAACAGCAGGAGACAGGAAAATGGAAAGGAAACATGAAGGGAAAGGGAAACAGCCTAAAAGAGGGGGATAGTAGGGAACAGATGTTACTAGGGGAGAAGTGGGGAAAGTGGGAGTGTTCAGTTGGGAGGGGGAGAAGGGAGGGACATGCAGGAACTATGGTGGTGGGAGAGGAGGGAACTCAGGAGAAAGGTGATGTTGGGAATATTGGGAGCACTTAGACTAGGGAGGGAGGAGGGAGGTTGGACAGGGGAGAGAAAGAAGAGATGAATGGAGCTTAAGGGGCTGGGGAAGCCAGAGGGAAATGTGTTGGCTTGGGAACCCCCTGAAAAATGCACATATAGTGCCTGAACATTAGTGCATGTGTATACCTGGGGACTGTATGGAAAAGAGCATGGTGCCAGACAGGAGAGACCTCCCTTTGAGTGGTTGGTTAGAGACTCCAAAAATAACACAAGCTATTGCTGGAACTCTTGGTTATCTCCCAGAACCTACTGCTGAAGACAGGACATACTTAAGACACAGGACTTGGAGCAATGGAGCAGAAACTGGCTGGGAAGCTTTCTACCTGGAGTCTAGCTCTCATAGTTCTTGAGGATACTATGTACGTTGGTAAGGGAGAAAATCAATCAATGGTTCAACCCAGCTCTAAAGCCTGTAATTGTAATAACCCTCATGACTAGCACAGCAAACTACCTGTATCAGCACAGTAGTTGCACTGTTATCTGGCGGGTAATCAACAGCTATCTAATTGGACTTAAAGCCCTTTCAATGGGAGGGAACTCATGGGTGACACTGTAAACACAGCCAAATACACATGGCTGGGGAGGACATAGATCGTAGAGAAAACCCTATCTCTGTCATATCTCTAGACAAATGAAATTTCTTACCCATCTGGATCCTTATATTTACAGACAAGTATACTGTACACCACTCATCAAAGAAACTTCTTTTTGCAACAGACGAAGGTTACTACAGAGTTCCACAACCGGCCACATGCAGAAAATATACATCTGAGAGATGTCCAGTCCTAGGTGACATATCTACAGTGGAACTGCTATACCTAAGGTTCATGGAATATAGCAGAAAATGGGGTAGAGAGAATACTAGTGCATCCCTCAATTCTCAACAGTGAATCTTCCTTATATAACAGAGTGCGATGCACACGGAAGTCAAGTTTTAGAGAATAAG